GTGTGTGTGTGTGTGTGTGTGAGAGAGAGAGAGACTGTGTGTGTGTGTGAGAGAGACTGTGTGTGTGTGAGAAAGAGAGTGCGTGTGTGAGAGAGTGTGAGTGAGTGTGTGTGAGACAGAGAGTGTGTGTGTGAGAGAGTGTGTGAGAGTGTGAGAGAGTGTGTGTGTGAGAGAGAGAGTGTGTGTGTGAGAGAGTGTGTGTGTGAGAGAGTGTGAGAGAGTGTGTGTGAGTGTGTGTGTGAGAGTGTGTGTGTGTGAGAGAGAGTGTGTGTGTGTGAGAGTGAGTGTGTGTGTGAGAGAGAGAGTGTGTGAGAGAGAGTGTGTGAGAGAGAGTGTGTGAGAGAGAGTGTGTGAGAGAGAGAGAGAGACATAGAGAGACAGATATTGTGTCTGAGAGACAGAGAGAGACTGTGTGTGTGTGTGAGAGACTCTCTCTCGCGCACGCACTCTCGCTCGCACGCACACACACACACGCACACTCTCTCTCTCTCTCACACACGCGCACACTCTCTCTCACACAGCAGCACAATATCACCAACTGCCGAGGGATGGGCAAGTCTCCTTTCGGCGGCTGTTCAGTTAGACCTAGGTCTCGGCTCATGTTCCAAGTTGGGCTTTTCGAATTCTCTGAATCCCTCCCTTTTCCCCCAGACCCCCCCAGTCGGCCAACACATGCCTGGTTGGACATCCTGAGTAGGTTCTGACTCGATCAGAACATGTAACCTCTCCTCTCTGATGGGGCTCAAGTCAACACAGACTGAGTTTGTGTAGCGAACATGGCCTGGGGTTTTATTCCGAACAATCGACTGTAAACGCAAGTATAAACTGTCAGGAAATCTCATCCAATTAGTTAAGAATCATTTCAAACCCCTGCACACACACAGAGAGGGGGGGAAGACACAAACAATAGAAGTCTAGTGTTCTGGATCGAAGGCAGCTGAGGAAACACAGTGGGAAAGCACCAGGCTGTGAGGAGTTGCGTTCTCTTGCTGAGGGCTCCTGTTCTCCGTCCTCCTTCTGTCTCTTTCCCAAGAACACGGGGCACTTACACGTCGGTTGCTGGTTAGAGACCTCAGCGTAAACTCAACAGACCACCTCCAAATAAATCTACAAATCCCTCCCCCCCCCCGCACCCACACACCCCCCCCCCAACACACACAAAGAACCACATCAGAGACTCAATATTTGGCTCTGGATGCCGAAGGCCAGGATACTATCAGCTGTCTGTCCTCAGTCTGAGTCTCTCTCTGCGCAAATGCAGATGCATCCACTCTGCTGATTATCTCAGCAGTAGAACCGCGACGACTCTCCCACAACCCCCACCCCCGAGTCCCGTTGCCCCGTCCACAGTCGGCGGCGGGGGGGGGGGGGGAATAAAAGCCCCCCCAAAACCTACAGATCCTTCTTTCAGATGCAGGGCTCTTTACTGCCCCTCCCTCAGGTCGGCGAATGAAATGCAACTTCTTCTTCCACAAAATCAGAGGCTGTTGCTAGGCTGCATTTACAACGCTGACAGATCCGGGCTTCTCGGAAGGAGAGGGCAGGGCATTCCATCGCCCGGTAACAAACCCCCACCCCGCCAACACACACACCGTTCGACTTGAGATGTAGGAACGACAAACCCGAGGTACACCCTGCAGCCAAAGACTGAATCATCCTCCCCTTCGCTCGACCAATTCCGACTCAAGTGTCATCATTTCTACGGGTTAGTCCTCGGGCCAGGAGTTAGCAGAAAAGTCAGAGTTCATTACAAGGTGACTGCGAATTGGGGCGGTTTCACACAGGAGTTTGGAATGCCCCGTTAGATTACACTCGACGGGCGCCAGAGCGATTTTGACGGCCGGGGGAGGGTCAGCGTGGACTCGATGGGCCGAACAGCCTGCTCCCACGCCGTATGATCAGGTCAACGCCGAGGCGAACCGTTAACAGCAGAGATCACGATGAGCTTGGCAAATCGACGACGGTGAGGAATTTATTCTGGGGGAATTCTCTCAACTGGGGCTGGGCACGGGGACAGCGGGCGCCACCCCTCACTCGCTGGAGGCCGCTGCCAGGGTCAGTGCCAAAGCCGTGCCGATGTCCCGCGAAAGGCCTGGACGGGAGGACAGTTCCGTACCCTTCCAGAGTCAGGGCAGCCATCGCTCATTCACCAGTCGGCAGGGCTAGGGGGCGCCGTTTCGCAGGGGAGGGGTGGGGGGAGGGTGGGGGAGGCATGGGTGGTGGTGGTGGTGGTGGGAAAGGCACACAGGATGCCCACGCACACCCCCCCGGTCCCCCAATCGCCCCTCACAGCAGCCTATTGGTGACGGGCCACGGGGGAGGGGAGTGGGGGTGGGGGGGGCGG